ATATATAAGTTTCATCTGTTTGTCCATGACTTGTTGAATTTTAGGCCCTTACACCAAACGTGAAGTGGCTTTGATTTTCTTTCCTAAGGAAAAATTAGTTCATTACTTGCTCGGTTATATAATGATCCAATTTTCCTGCCGTCCATGTCCATATATGTCTTTTTTCAAGTCTGAATAAGTTTAGGGTGTGTTTTGGTAATTTATATTTATGATCAAACTTGGTTTGCAACTATAAACACTACAATATAATGATTAAAATAAAGTTCATATCTTTGATACAGACATTTGATGCATTTTAAATAAACAGTAAAAGTATCTTTCTTACCTGGAGGTCTTTCACCGAATTTTTTTAGAGTTGTCTATCTCTATTCAGATCTAAATGAAAGGTACAACTAATCCTGAACAGAGGCAGAAATAAACCCATCCTGTTACACAGTCAAGGTTATAGAATACTTGTTACACACAGCCAAGGCCTCTCTTATATGTCGCATACAACCAAGACCATTCTTAGAATATATATTACATGAAATCTTTGTCCTTTTTCTATTACATGTTTCATGCAACCAAGGCCATCCTTAAATTACATATTACATGAAACCATTGTCCGTTTTCTATTTCATGTTACATACAACCAAGGCCTTTTTTTAGCTTGCAATGCGTTTCATAAGATTACATGCAATCATGGGCTAATTTTGATAACTAAGCACAATAATAAATGAATGAAACTCAAGAATGTGTACAGAATTTTAAAATTAACTTTCTCATTCATCGAATGTACTTCTTGGAAAATGACTCAAGCAGAAGTAGTGTCAGGTCAACGTCATATAGAATAGGCTTGTCAGGAATGACACTTCTGTTCAGTTAGGATAGTGTTACTCGTGTTATCATATCTTAATGATGTCATAACAGTATAACAGCTTGCAGTTGTTATAAAATCATTAATTTGCAAAGCCTCAGTTTTATTTGAAGTCAGTAAGACAACAATTTCAATAAATGGCAGGATATATCTTGATGTTATTTAATCTCAAGCCTAATTAAGACATCATAAATATTTTATTACACTTTCACCTCTTTATAAAGTTATATTTTTAAAACTGCCATGACAAAATTATATTTCAAAGTTATAAAGTTTACATTTTGAAATAATTGATGATTTAAATCGATTCCAATATTCCAAATTTAATGTAACAACAAAAAACTAAGGCAATGAAAGTACAAAAATAAACAACACATATACACAATTTTTCTGTATTGCATGCAGCATTATGACTCGAAAATTCGAACGTAAGCATAATTAGCATACAATTATATCCAACATTTTCACCAGCACAACAAATAATATTATTATTCAAAAATACGTTTGTGTATTTATATATTTGTATTTATTTATTTAATATTATTACAAATAATGTATCACTTCCAACGCAGATATTTTTTTTCACCCTGGTAGTTGGTAATTTGTTGCTACCTAATCCTTCAAATTCCTCTGGAATGTAAATAAGAAAGTAATTAAGCATCGTGTCATGTTTGTGAGCAAATGTGTCGGCTAGCAACACGTAACTGCGCAGTGAATTTAATGCCTATTTTTTACTGGTGGATCTGAACAGTTTGATTGACAGATCAGAACTGTCCATTATTGGGTGTAACTATGCCATTTTGCTTACAGTTCTTATATTCCTTATCAATGCTATACAGTTATAAAGTTTATTACTGGTACCATATATTATCTAATAATTGAAACTGCTGAATGGTGGATTTATCTCTAATGCCACGTGATACGACATTTGTTGGATGAATATTAATTTAGGTCAAATAGCAGACTTTAATATGGCAAACATTTTATTAAAAGTACAATAATATATAGTGAAACAGTTTTAAAAATTGGTTGATAAATTATGATTTTATGACTTTTTTGTATATGTTATACAATGTCTAGCTGAGTAGTTGTCAAAGCTACGCCGATAGTAGTCAGCGATTTTTACGTACATGTCAATAGTTAGTTTTACGTACATTTCAATAGTTATACGTCCATGTCAATATTTTTAAATACATGTCAATCATTTTATGTATATGTCAATAGTTTTACGTTTATGTCAATCGTTTTACGTATATGTCAATAGTTTTACGCACATATCAATAGTTTCACGTACATGTCAATCGTTTTACGTATATGTCAATAGTTTTACGTACATATCAATAGTTTTACGTACATGTCACTCGTTTTACGTATATGCAAATAGTTTTAAACACATGTCAATAGTTTTACGTACATGTCAGTCGTTTTACGTATATGTCAGTAGTTTTCCGTACATGGCTAAAAGGCGTCAGACATCTATAATTTAAGATCATTGGTTAGTTTCTGTGTTAATGTGTGACTGAGAGATGGACGGATTCAAACATCAATCAATTGCCGACAGGAAAACACACTCCGAAGTGTATCAGACTTTAAATGCTGGTGACAAACTGTATCTATCATATTCTTTGTCGGTATTTGTTTATGGTGGGTACCATTACAACTATTATGTAAAAGAAACAAAAACAATTTTAACAAATGTGACGAGCATGTTCCCTATTTAAAACGGTTGTCTTAACACGAACATCCACCCGAATCGTCCAGGTCAGAATTTTTAGTTTCTGTGTAATCCCCCATTATTGCTGACTAAAAGTAGTGTTAATTTTATTAAAGTTGAAAACGCAACTTTCTATCGCCAGATTTTAAGTTTTCACTGCGTTCAGATGATACGTGGTTTTCGATTGGATTCTATACACTTTCTGAATAGAACATGCTTTCGATCCGTCACTAATCGTGTCAGAGTAACAATGGAACGGTAAGCTCTATGATTTACACTTGTCTTTACCAACAACTCGAGTCAATTATGAGTGGGCTCATGATTGCGTGTGCCGCGTTGACCTTGCCACGCTCATGTCCATCCCACCCCTATACATAAATGTGTGCGAAACAACATATTGGAGCTTCTCCGGACTTCGGTCTTTCAGACTTCATCTAGGTCTCTGACACACAAACCCGTCGCTTACTTGTTTATGATTCCTTATCCCACCTGTCGGAAATACCTTAAGATCCACAATTGGATTCCCAGTTTTCTTGATTCCTGATTTATACTTTTTCATTATTATGTGTCATTATTACATTTTACACGCTGAAAAGTCATGTCGAGTCATTATATTCATTTCGTGAATTTTTGCGAGTGAATGCAGCTATAAATTGTAAATCCACTGGAAATAAAAATTGTTCAGATTATTTTGTTGTCATTTAAGAAGAGATAACATGGAAATTGCTAATAATTGTCGCACGCAGTTGTCTAGAAACATAAGATATACTAATATGCTTGAGTATTCTCTTGCGGTGTATGGTCATCTACTCAAAACAGTTTTGTTCATTACAAATAGCACTTTAGTCATTTATTTCTCTCTCAAGACACATTTTCGCCGATGAATAGAGTATTCTGAAATAACTCTAAAGATCCTTAAAGTTTTAAAAGAAATTCCTGTCTTGCGGTAAGTTAGTCGTTTACAATGACACTTTGATAGGTAAGACATTTCTAACGACATTGATGTTTTGAGTTCGAGAAACGTTTATATTTTTCCGTATTCCTGATGGCAACTCTATGACTTCTGATTTTGACTAAAAATGTTCAAGTTTTCTTAGATGACATTTCTTTAAGGATGAAAAATGTCCTCAGATGATATTTTTAGAAAGGAGTTTTCCCAGAACTATATTAGAAAATATGTACTTATTGTAGTTTTGCATGAAACTAATAGACTCTGAATGTTATACTTTTTTACCTGTAAGAAACTAGTTTGGGTTTTCTATGTGTGATTTATTATCCGCCATCATTAGTGCTACATCTTTCAAATAAATATAAGCCAAACTACAGAAGAAATTCTCGTTAAAATACATGTGGTAAATCTCTAAAGAAGATTGATGTTTCAGCGATGAATTAAATCATAGAATTAGACAGTAAAAGAATTTTCAAGCTTTGATAGCCTAACAGCGCCTCTAGCATTTCATATTGCCACAACGTCTAATTGCATGCTCCAAATATAGACTAATGCTTTGGGATATTATACAGCATAGTCTAAATCACGTTATCGTAAATGTCCAATTTTTCAATCCAAGCATGAATAATTGATCGACAATAAAAAGAATAACGCGTTCTACCGCCTTAGATTGAAATGTTTGCTTTACTGTCAATCCCGATGCTAAATATCTCGGGTCGGTCGATATAAATGGCAGATAAAGGCGGAAAATCAACTAGCAAAGATTGAATGGTCACAAATTTCTCTAGCTTCGATTTCTTTAAAATATTTGTTTATTGGATTGAAGAGTAACAGTTATTGGCGGTTAACGTTATATGTTGAAACTAATTATTTACTCCATTATCTGTTTTTCTGACTAAATCCACTAACCGTCTCCAATTTACTTCATCACTCATCTGTTTAGCCACCTATAATCCAACCAGCCAGAGTGCCAGATAGGTAGCTAACCATACACAATCCGGACAGCAAGTCAGGCGGACGGTCGGACAGACGCAAAAGAACGGAAGAAATGTTTATTTATCAAACAAGATACAATTCTTGGTAATGAAAGAAACAGTTCTATCCTTAATCTTAAATTTAATACTGTTTAAGGGCATGGTTCAGGTGTAAAAGCCAAATTAACTCATCTGTGTCGTCCCCTTTCCACCCCAGACTATACAAGTAAAAAGAGAACTGACTTGGCACCTGACTGGTCATATGATTTTGGGTGAGTTGGATATTTAACGGAGCTTTAACAATTGTTCAGCCATATCGCTACAATGTCTGCAGTATGGCAGTTTATAGTGATATCTAGCACCAAAGAATCATGCCCCAGACATGTAACACGATGTCCCACCCAAGTCACATTATCCCGATACTAGGCTGCCATTCCTAACAATAGCCTCATAATGCTGAGCGCTTAGCGAGACAGATGTTAGTACTGTTTTTATAAGTATTTGTTATGACTCAGCCGGGGTTTGAACCCGCGACCTCCTGCATCAGAGGCGGAAGCTCTAACCACTAGGGCATCGGAGTGCATATACTGAATTAACTGAATGAGCAGCTACAGAAAAAAAACAATACAATTGAATTAGAAAATGAAATGCTTTACTTAAAAAGGAGACAAGAATTAAATTAATTCACAATTGTGAATTGTATTGATGGCAAAATTTCAGCACTTGCCAAAATCATTGGTCATTTGATCCATTTTCCTCCTCGCCAAACCTCGATAATTGCTGAAAATATAATGTACTTCATGTACTCCCGTGTATTCTTACTCGTGCAATGGATTAAACTACCAAAGAAAATAACGAGATATCGTTGTCAGATTTTGTTTTTACAAAATCGCTAGGTTGTCTTGGGGAGGAAGATGTTCCTTTTGTTCTACCCATTATCCTAAATTAAACGTAATATCAAGATTTGTAAAGTTATTAAATCAGATCATATTTTTTGTGCGCGAGTACGTAATTCATTGTAGAAAGACGTCACAGCGCCTCAGTGGTTATTGTTAACTATCATAGTTTCGAGGAATATGCATAGATTGGACTTGTTCAGCCAATTCTGCTTCGTACAATAAACCATGAGATCAATTATTGCCATAATGTCTCTAGTTCTTTTTACCCCATGACGAGCTGTTTGCAATTTTATGTCCCTGTCTTATCAATGCCGTAATTAATTGGCTACAAAGCTTTCTTTAGACATCTCTTTGTCAAGCATTTCGGCGTAAGGATAGTAAATGCATTTGCATACTGTTATTTGAAAAGGACTGTCTCGCTTTATATCTTCTGAAAAGTAGCTTCTGTAATATTATGTGGAACACAGTCATAGATAGGAAAGAGCGTTGCAGCATTAATAATTTCGATAACATAATGAAAGCGTCATACCCAATAAATCTGCGCATTAAAAATATCGAGACATCAGTGAATTGAGTAGTTCGTATTTTATCAGTTCTCCGCTAGAGAAATCCTAATTGCCTATTTGTTTTAAGTGCAGTGTTCTTAAGAAACAGGCACAAATGTCTATATCGTTTTTGAACTATATATTTCAATTCTTACACTTTTAATGATTCCCATTGAAATTGTTATTAAATTCAAAATTTATGATATAAATAAAAATACTTGATCATTAAAAATGGAAAATAAATGATCAGATTAAAAATGTAATATGTTTCCAAATCAAATGTAAACATTTGCACATAGGAATATGTGTGAATTTGTGTTTATGAATAAGACTACGTTGTGTGAATACTATATTATTATTATTATTATCATGGTTTTGTGAAACAACAAAAAGACATTTTTGTGCGTACTTCAGATTATGGTTTTACCTGTCTATTTGTAGATATTTGATGTCTTGGATTAACCCTTACAAATACTCCTTATAAAGAATACAAAGGAGCAATACAATACATATAAAAAGACGTTGCGGTCACTTCAGTAGTTAAAACTAAACTAAAACATGTATGAGCAGAAATCAAACACCGGTTGAGAGCAGTCATTTCCACTCAATGTCGAAGAGACGCAACCAACAACACAAAGCTTATCGGTTATTTTGTTTTTAAATGTACATGACTTCTTCATTAAAACACTGTCCACAGAGTTGTGCCATCAAATATTTCCTGTTGATCGACGATCATGGCGTTAACACTCTGACTTAAGAACGATAAAATTCAACTTAAATCTTGTCGATTCGGTTTATGTAATTATTGCATTTGTGAACAGAAACGATTGGACATCTCTCAGCCATTTCCGTCTGGTCAATTAATAACTTTGGAAGCAGTTGTATTAATACGCATAATTTGATGTGTTTGGTGATTAGTCTCAGCATATCTTTCGACGGCCAAGGCAAAATTTGATCAAATTGTAACTATTATTACTTACGCCGTCACGTTGTTAGACGTAAATGAAAGTAGTTTAAAATATAGTTCCAATGGAGATGAATTACGTCCAAAGTTACTTTATCGATTTGACAGAAAAGGCTAAAGTTATTTCGCCTTCAACCGACCATCATAACGTCGAAAACTTCTATCAGATCATGAAGTAATTTTAAAAGTATCGGTAGGAATGTGTTTGGTGAATTGCATCTGACGAAGTGCACCTCAGCAAAGGTCTAAAATATTCTGACGTACATTTCTTGAGGGAAAAACGGAAATGATGTTCCGATAGATGAACCGAAAATGTGACCAGCTGTCCCTTCTCGATGAAATTAAAAAGCTGTGTGAACATTCGATGTGTTGCGAGACATCAAAGTGTGAAGATGCTAACTTAAATTAATAATGCAATGCAATCATTCCTTTGTTTGAGCCTGCCTCGCGTACGAACGAACTTCAACCAATTTCCTTAAACTTTATCAACGCTGCTAATTCATGTTAAATAGATAACTGCAGTAACGCGAGAAAGCATGAAAGATCGGACCTAATATTATATGTGGCTTTCAAATAATTAATTTGTATTACCAGATTACAGAAATTACGTCAATTTATCAAATATAAGAATGAGTTAGAGTAAAGGAAAGGATGTGGGTTGATTTTTTTTATCATATGTGGCCAATTTTTGTAATTCTTGAAATTAGACCGCTCCGGTGGCCTAAGTGGTTAGTGTCCACCTCAGAGAGAGGTAGCGATTTGAATTATACCACAGACTTACCAAATTGGTACTAGCAGCTGTGCCTCGCTTTGCTCTTAGCATTAAACAGGTTAATTTTAGGAATGGTATGACTTGTGTCAGGATAATGTGAACGGGTGGGACATCATGCTACATGTCTGTAACATGATGCCCCAGTGCTAGACATCACAATAAACTGCTACACTTAAGACATCATAGCATTACAACTAAAATTTTTAAACCTACGTTAAAAATAAAAGAACCACAGCACAGGTCTTTAAATTAATGGTTTGGGGCAACAACGACATCCACATAAATTGATAAAAAAAAAGTTGTGATAAAAATGGATTGGTCACACAATTAACAATTTGTAATAAAATAATTCATAAGAATCCAGCATTCTTTGGAGAAACTAATGCTGATTATTTTCTATAGATTCTTTTTCTTTGTTATTTTACTTTTTGACTACGAAGGCGCAAATATGATGTCTTTATCGGATAAAGCGATCATTCGTATGTATGAATTGAAAGGTAAATATTTATCTTTTAAAAATCATTCAGAGAATAAATAACGTCTGAAGGACTTTAGTTTAACTTTGTGAGTGATTAGGTATCAACTTATACTTTAATAAATACCCAGCTATGATCATTTAATCCTTTTAATTCCAATATTTCTCCTCTTGTGTCGTTATATTAGTTATTTTCATCAACCAATGCGTAGGATTTTAGTTAGCTCGTAGCTTTCTAGTTAGCCTCTTCACACTGCTCCAGAATACAAAGTCCTATCTCATCTAACCGAGGTTGTGTACTCTTGCTTATTATTATTATTATTATATATATATATATATATATATATATATATATATATATATATATATATATATATATATATATATATATATATATATATATATATATATATATATATATATATATATATATCACAGGGTGTATTAGTTGATCACTGCAATGATCTGCGGAATTTAATCATTCTTTACGATTTTTAAAATAATGATATTACCTGTCAATTGTTTTTCTACAACATAAAGTGCGAGTTTGGTTCTTATTGATCCTATTGTCACTATGTTGAGTATGAACTTAACTACGATCAATATCTACCGATATTACATGCAAGTAAAATTGTTAAACTAATGGGATTGTTAAGAATATTATGTATTAATTATTAAAATATCGGTTTGATGAGTGTCAAATAATAGCACAATAAAGGACAACGTTCCGTTGCCATGATGCTGGAGGATGGAATAAGACATGAGATGAAAATTACAACCATACAGAATAACACATTCAAATATTAACATAATTCCTTCTGTTATAATATTTATAAATTGTATCTCTAATGGCAGACATAACGTGGAAGTGCAGTGTTGCGGTTCCAACTTTGTAAATACTTTCCAATTATCAGTAATTTTCCCTGCAAATTATTGACAATTATTTTTCAATCGTCCATTTTCACCTAACTTATGATTAGGACATATGATGAGTCCAGGCTTCAATGTTACCATCATTAATCAACCTTATATGCAGAGTCTCTAACGTAGTCCAGCTTGTTTGCGTATAATTTATTTTCTCTAAATATACTTAATAGCCACGAAATGCATGTTCGAAATCCGAAAAACAGTGATATAGCAGCAAATTGAATTGCTAGCAACCAGCTTCACTTCAGGAAAGCGCGAATGTTATTATCTTCGAGAAAAGAATAGTTGTACAAGATATGGACAAAGCTTGTGTTTTCCAGATAATATGCATGTTTGTATTGTACAGTATGATTCGAATCTCTCGATATAAAAATGTGTTGTGAAAGAGGTAAATATTATTTATCTAAATCAAGCATTTAGTAAGAAATGTATAAAAACAGTGCAATATCATTATTCCCACCTATCACACCTTTCGTTGATATTTGGGGTATTTTTCATGAATAGAATACGATTTTTGATTCTTACACTCTATTTATCCTCTGTATAACCATTAGTCCATATTAATATTTAGGCAGGCCATAATGAATTGTTTAAAAATTTACCTTTATTGCTACACATAGAAGAAAGTTAATTTTAGCATGTTCTTAGGAATTTTGAGCCGAAAAAATACAACCCTGTATATCCCGTGACATGTTTCGCATCAGGCCTTCACTTTATGGCTTTCGAGTGTTTTCTTGCTTTTCATAAAATATATGTCAATACTTATTCCGGGGATTGGTGGTATAATTCTAAATCATTCTGTAAATAAAAATTGACTGATCCAACAACAAGTTTCGACGAATAATGTGCAATATCAAGAGTATTATACACGTACCATACGTCTAATTTTTGGACAAATGCATTATTTAAAGTACCAATAAATCAAACATTTTCCTGGATTAAAGAAGCTCCATAATATTATCCCGGTGTAAATTAATCGGACCCTGTACTCGA